CCCAAGGTCTTAGCAAGACCAGATATTCAAAAAAAGGGTTATTTTAGGGGTGCATCTGAAAGTGAAGCAGCCTTTCCCCGTGTGGCTGAACGTCTTGTTCTTCTAAGAGGCGCATGAGTTGCAACGCCATTTCTATGGCAACGTTAAAGTCAGAGGCAGCTGATGCTGGGATGTGAAAATAAGTCAGCAGAGCTGGCAGCATATTAGGACAGTAAGGAGGTTGTGGAGTAACATGGGTCAGTCCTGGAGGCTGGGGAAGGCTCGGACGAGGGTTCTGCATCGCAGGCAGAGAGAGGACCAAGGCCATCTGGTAGTTATTTGTTGCCTCCGGAGTCTGACATCAGCGAGGCAGAAGAACAGCAGGAGCCTGTTCCCAGTGTGTGCATGCGCAGAGCTGCCAAAAGGCAAGAACCATTAAGAAAACGGTTTACTCAGGAGTAAAGCTTGGAGATGATTGGCCCCTCCCATAAGACATAAAAGAGGAGCGGCCGGGACAGGAGCTTTTGCAGGAAGCAGTTCGTTTATCTGGTCAGTTCAAGCTTTGAAAAGTTCTGTTTGATTCTGTGCTAAGTTTAGTCCTGCTCTGCATTTGGCCGTTAGGTCTCTGGCATGATTCCCAGGGAGATAAGGTGGGTGTTTGTCAACATGCCCCTGAAAAACTGTGGCAACTCAAGCAGGCATCTGTCGGAACCTTCACAGACTATTTATGAAGCCTTGCGGACTGTGAATGACCATAATTTACAGCCGCATAAATAAAAAAGGGTTTGGGGGACTAAGATTGTGATTTATGCTTGTTCAGGAAGCCTAGGTCAGAACAGAATCCAAGATGGTTTGTTGGCCCCTCTCTGCTGAGTAGAGGCAGATTTAACTCTTTTCCCTCTTGGCGTTCCACCTGCGAATCTCTTGCATCTTTCCTGAAGGACCTGTTTCAGGTTGACTTCATTTAGTTCCCACATGTCTGCTAATTTTTAGTAGCATTTCCACCAGGACTAACAGATTCTGTGACAGCTTTGTTCCCTAGGCCATCCGTCTGGTAAACTCACAAGATTGGTTATTCTCGCCATGTAGTTTCTCTGTGTGTCATATATGTCGGTATATGCATAACTTTGTATTTATTTCTTTGTCTTGTCATATTTATGTAGTGTAAAATTGGAGGTAGTGACCCTTGAAGAGCTGTATGTAACGGAATTTCATTTCTAATGTAGGCCAATTAGTGTACATTCAAAGTGACAATAAAGTTATTCTATTCTATTCCTAATTTTCTTCCCATTCCTCTTCAATTCTAATTTTCTATTCATTCTTATTCTATTCCTAATTTTCTTCTTATTCTATTCTACTCTACCCTACCCTACCTTACACACTACACTACACTTCCCGATAGTACACTACACTGCATTACTCTACTCTACCCTACTCTACACTATTCCGCCCTACCCTACTCTACCCTACCCTACAGCATTTGGAAAATTGCTGAGAGTCTTTGAAAATGGAGCAGCATTTAAATAATCAACAGTCATGAAAGACTGACATAATTGTGACTCCTGCAATAGCAGGTAGAGAAGATAGATACTGTAGATAGATAGATAGATAGATAGATAGATAGATAGATAGATAGATAGATAGATAGATAGATAGATAGATAGATAGATAGAT